GGTTTGCTTTTTTTTTTTTTTCTTGGAGACAGTCTCAAGAAGTCACCCAGACTGGAGTGCAATGGTGGAATCTCAGCCTTCTTAGTAGCTGGGGCTATAGGTGTGTACCACCAGGCCTAATTTTTGTATTTTTGTTTTTTGTTTGTTTTGTATTTTGTATTTTTGTTTTTTGGTAGATACAGGGTTTTGTCATATTGCCCAGGCTCATCTTGAACTCCTGGGCTCAAGCAATCCACCCGCCTTAGCCTCCTAAAAGTGCTGGGGTTACAGGTGTGAGCCACCATGCCCAGCCTGGAGTTCTAAGTTCAAATTTCATGATGTTCAAATATGACATTCAGTTTTACAAAGTGCTTCCACATTTCATCCTCTTATTTGGTCTTTTTGTTTGTTTTTGGTTGTTTTTTTTTTTTTTTTGAGACGGAGTTTCACTCGTTTCCCAGGCTAGAGTGCAATGGCGTGATCTTGGCTCACCACAACCTCCGCCTCCCGGGTTCAAGCGATTCTCCTGCCTCAGCCTCCCGAGTAACTGGGATTACAGGCATGTGCTACCATGCCTGGCTAATTTTGTATTTTTAGTAGAGATGGGATTTCTCCATGTTGGTCAGGCTGGTCTCAAACTCCTAACCTCAGGTGACCCGCCCGCCTTGGCCTCCCAAAATGCTGGGATTACAGGCGTGAGCTACTGTGCCCAGCCTTTTTTTTTTTTTCTTTTTTTTTTTTTTTCTTCAGATGGAGTCTCCCTCTGTCTCCCAGGCTGTAGTGCAGTGGCACAGTCTTGACTCACTGCAACCTCTGCCTCCCAGGTTCAAGTGATCCTCCTGCCTCAGACTCCCAAGTAGCTGGGATTTACAGGTACCCGCTACCACGTCTGGCTAATTTTTGTATTTTTAGTAGAGATGGGGTTTCACCATATTGGCCAGGCTGGTCTCGAACTCTGTGTGATCCGGCCATCTTGGCCTCCCAAAAGTGCTGGTATTACAGGTGTGAGCCATCGTGCCAGCCTATTTGATCTTTACAACAGGTTTGTAGTGTCCCTGTTTTGTATCTGACGAAACTGAGGCTAAGAGGTTAAGTAGTTTGCCCAGGTTCACACAGTTATTAAATAAGAGCAGAGCTGAGACTGAGACCTGAAAATGTGATTTCAAGTGTACTGTGCCTTCCGTGACACCATGCTGCTTTCTGAGGGTCAGGGAACTTGAGCTCAGGAAAATCCCAAGATTGGTTTGCTGATCCCTTTTACTCTGTCTCCTCCTGGCCTCCTGGATAGCAGTCCTTTGAGAAACAAGGTTTTCATTCCGGTACTCCTGCTGCTTCCTTCAACTTGCCTTCAGCCCTAGGAAGTGGGGGCCCCATCAATCCGGCCACAGCTGCTGCCTACCCACCTGCCCCCTTTATGCACATTCTGACCCCCCATCAGCAGCCGCACTCTCAGATCCTTCACCATCACCTGCAGCAGGATGGCCAGGTAATAGCCCTTCCCCCTCTCTCCTTTCCCTTCCTCTTCCTATCCCTTAAAACTGCCTTCCCTTTCCTTTTCTTACCCTTCCTCACCACCACCTTCACCCAATCCCTCCCCAGCGCCAGTCATGGGCACACAGCACATACAGACACAAGCGCACATAACACGAGCGGCCGGCAAAGGATATCTCAGAGAAGGGGCCAGATTGAAACCTTTTTTGCCCAATTCCTTTGGTGCCCTTCTCCTCCTATGCCACAGTTGTCGTCATCCCATCAGACCTGGGTCACACCTCCCCTCTTTCCTCTCCCAGCCTTCCCTCTTCCCTGACATTTTAGCTTTCCCTTCTAATGGTGGAGTTCTATTGTCAAAGTTTGTCCCTTTATTTTCCATATATCCTGGTTCTGCCTCAGCTACCATATTTGCAGATGATTCTCTGTTGCCAGCGCCAGCAGGAGGAGCAGGTAATGAAATTGAATGATCATATGCTTGAACCCACTCCTTTTCAGTCCCCATTTCACCTTCACAGCCTCAGGGAACTTGAAAAGACTGCGCGGTCACAAATCGGGATACACAAACACAAACACCTTGCTGAGCTCTCTGGCCTCCCCTTCCTCTCTCCTTCTCCTCTCCCCAACACCCTCTTTATCTTTGTACCCTTCCCCAACTGTGGAAAACATTTGGTTACCAGAATGGAAAAGATTATTGGGGCAGCATCTGCAGGCTGAGGCCTCAGACTGCCTCTCGTACCTGCCTGAAATGGGCTCACAGATGTGATGTGTGGTAGGGGTGGGGATCTGTGGGGCAATGCAAGTGGCCTCTTGAGAGCTCCATTGTAGGTGGCTGGAGCTAGAATAAGGACTTCCTTCCTCTCAAAGACAGCTTTCCAAATTGAGGCATTCATGGGGATCAATGGAAATGAAATTGCCTTGTGATCACTCATCTCCAAGAGCAGGGGAGAGAAGGGGTAGTAGGAGAAGGTAGAATTGAAAATGAGTAGAACTCACTCACTACCTTATCTCCAAAGGTATCTTGCCCTCTTCATCTTTTCCCTATTTAAAAGTCAAAAATGCCTTCCTGCTTGTAAGAAAGGGGCTTTAGCAGCTATGCAGACTAAATTTTCTATGGTTCTAATAGTAGTGAGGGGAATGGGAGAGCAAGACAGTTTGCACATCTCCACCTGAAGATGTTACAAATTTGTACCACTAACTAGACACCTTTTTCCTCCCCATCATCCTCCCATTCCCCTGCAGACGGGCAGCGGGCAACGTAGCCAGACCAGCTCCATCCCGCAGAAGCCCCAGACCAACAAGTCTGCCTACAACAGCTACAGCTGGGGGGCCAACTGAGGCCCTGACCCTCTTCTCCCGGTCCCATCTTCTGAGAGGGCTTCTCAGCCTGGAAACTATGGAAACAACATCAAAGAGAAAGGAATGTGGGGGGTTTCCGCTGCCCCCCACCCCCAGCGGCCCACCCCATGCCTCAGCTTCATGTCTGTCCCATTCCTATACCATCCCCACCCTGTTGTATGTATTATAGGATTTGTATTTTCTCCTTTTTTTTCCCCCCTTCCATTCCTTCTCCCCTCTTGCATTCAAGATTATGAAACTTTGCTATGGGCCCTGCCCTTCCTTTGCTTCCTCCTGTTCACCCTGGTGGTGTACGGATGAGGTGGGGAGGTGGGACCTCCAAATATATATCAGCCCAACAGCCCTAAGTCTCCTCCTTTATTATTAGGAAAACAACAACAACAACAACAAAAAAATGGCGTCATGAATATGAACAGCATTGTCAGATGAATTAGTTGAAGTGTTTTTTTTTTTTTTTTTTTTTTTTTGTACTGTGTCCTCAAATTTAATGGATTAATGTGTCTTGTATATATAAAAAGAAAACCTCTACCTTCAGCCTCTGCCTATTCTTGCTCCGTCTAGGACATCCTCAATTTCGTCGATGACCAGCTTGGTGAATAAGTATTACTGTACCAACGGGGCCTCCTCTAGCAGGCCCCTGAAGGCAGTGGAATAAAATGAAATCTTCGCCCTTTAAGAACTCCTGACCTTAATGTGGTAGTAGTATCTTGTCCTTGAGGGGATTTCCTTCCCTTCACCCCTAAGACTTTCACAACCTGTTGACTGGAAAGAACCACCACAAATCTTCATTTCCTCCAGAAACTGCTACATCTACAGCCGATTTCAGGCAGTAAAGGGAGAGGGATAGAGGAGATTGGGTGGAAAATGGAGAGGATCAAGAAGGAGCTGAGACCATTTCAAAGGAAAAAAATGGCTTTATAGAGTTTTAAGTTATGACTTAGATGGGTCCAGGTAAATAAACTAAAAAGAAGTGAAGGCAACATGTATCGTCTGACAGAACTAAATCTTGGAGTGGGGTGATGGATAAAAGACTACATACTGGGTACAGTGTACACTGCTCGGGTGATGGGTGCACTAAAGTCGCAGAAATCACTAAAGAACTCATCCATGTAACCAAACACCACCTGTACCCCAAAAACGAAATAAACAAAACCTTGGGGCACATTCCCCCTAGGAATGGACTACTGTAGTAGTTGCTTCTTGGGTGCTTTTCTGTGACATAGCTATACCCAATTCTTTGAAAAAGAATCTAGAGCCAAGTCTGGCTTGGGGATGGGGTACAGGGAGAGACAGGTTTCGGATAGGCTTTGAAAATTGATACAACAGTAAACAAAATGAGGCCAGTCGCTTTGGGAGGCCAAGGTGGGCAGATCACCTGAGGTCGGGAGTTCGAGACCAGCCTGGTCAACGTGGTGAAACCCCGTCTCTACAAAAAATACAAAAGTAGCTGGGCAGGGTGGCATATGACTGTAATCCCAGCTACTCGGGAGGCTGAGGCAGGAGAGAACCTGGGAGGCGAAGGTTGCAGTGAGCCGAGATGGTGCCACTGCACTCCAGCCTGGGAGACATGAGAGAAAACTTTGTCTCAAAAAAAAAAAAAAAAAATACCAAAGGGATACTTCTTTATCGCCCCCAATTTGTTCCTTCTCAGGACACAACTAGTTTCCCTTCCCTTACAAATCCTTTGTCTTGCTGGTTGCAGAGCCTGCTTAGATAGAAGAATCCTATATGGTTATAACAGACTCCCTAGTAGCTAGAGAGGTGGAGGAAGTTAAGTCCATGCGTCTCTTATGTCTTGATCTCTTCTCTGGGGAATTCAATACTAGAAAGAGCTTGGAAAAGCATTTTGTTCATCCCTCTAACAGCAGACGTCACCCAGGTCAGTCAAAACGAACGCCCGAGTAAGTGGCTAGGTGGCTTCTGCTGTTAGGCTGGCCAGCCCCGGGGGTGGGGAGGTTGAGGGATGCCCTTAAGCCGGTTCATCTGTGCGTCTGGGCTGCCCTCTGGCGGCTTTATGCGGGTGCTATCCAGAGTCAAACCCTCGAAATCGCTTTTCGGACTGAGTTGTCTCCAGAAAGAAGAACAGGTTTAGGAGGAAGGCGGTCATAGGAACCTGAAAGTGCGTCACGCTCACTCCCGTCACGGAAACTGCTCTCTAAAAGGTGGGGTAAAGATAAAACCTTTCAAATTTGAGGAAGACTTTCCGTCCCGCCTCCCTTGCATGTCCGGCTTACAGTCGTTTACGACAGTGTCAGGATCGCGGGCTTGCTTTCCGGTAGCGTGGGCTGACGCCTCGCTCAATTTCCCACAGGGCTGCGCAGGTTTGCCCCTTCTGCGAATGGACCACTGGAGGGGTTCAAAGGTTCGCGTCCCAATACGGGAATGAGCCTCTTTGATCTCTTCCGGGGCTTTTTCGGCTTTCCTGGACCTCGGAGGTGAGAGTAGGTCCGGCTTGGACAAGGGTGGGGGTCGTCTGAAGGGAGCTTGACCCCTACGTCTTATTTTTTGGAAAAACATCCTCTGTCCCACTCCTTCAACTGCTGTAGAGAGGACAGAAGTGGCAACATTGAACACTCACCCCGCCACAGTAACCAAGGCGGTCGTTAAGAGGAGAAACAGCAAACTAAGCCTTTCTCCAACCTGGGGTGATGCAACAGGGACCCGGGCGGGGAAGACAATGGGGGTCGGGAGAATAGGACAGTGGGCAAGTGAGCAGGACCTTGGGAGAGAGGGGAGGGACTCTGGGGGAAGGTGTAAGAAGGGAGCTGCGAGCTGAGGTCTGACTTTGATTTAAAAAAAAAAAAAAAAAAGAAAGAACTGTCAGCCATTGTATTAATGTTTTGATGCGGCAACCAGTCCTCCGACCCTCTCCCCAGCTTCCCAGACCCCTTGCTCTTGTCCCACTTTGCCACCCATGAGTTGATTTTATGGCTTAAATCGTGCTGACATCTTGGTGGCCAATCTGCCTCCACTCTCAGCCACAGAGATCCCTTTTTTGGAGGGATGACTCGAGATGAAGATGATGATGAGGAAGAAGAGGAAGAAGGGGGTTCATGGGGCCATGGGAACCCAAGGTTCCATAGTCCTCAGCACCCCCCTGAGGAATTTGGCTTCGGCTTCAGCTTCAGCCCAGGAGGAGGGATACGTTTCCACGATAACTTCGGCTTTGATGACCTAGTACGAGATTTCAATAGCATCTTCAGCGATATGGGGGCCTGGACCTTGCCTTCCCATCCTCCTGGTGTGTGACTTTCCCTGAGGGACAACCTGCGGTTTCTAGTGGGTTGGTGGGTGAAATAAAGAGCCTGCAGGGAGTAGCTGGGGGATGGGAAGTGTGAGAAGACTGATGATTTCAGGGAGATTTATAGAGCCCAAGTCCTTTCCCACCCCAGCAAACACCTGCCACCTTTCTGCAGAACTCCCAGGTCCTGAGTCAGAGACACCTGGTGAGAGACTGCGGGAGGGACAGACACTTCGGGACTCAATGCTTAAGTATCCAGATAGTCACCAGCCCAGGATCTTTGGGGGGGTCTTGGAGAGTGATGGAAGAAGTGAATCCCCCAAACCAGCACCAGACTGGGGCTCCCAGAGACCATTTCATAGGGTGAGTATCCCATCGGGTCCTAAAGTGAGAGCTTGTGAGAGACCACTAATAAAGTGCAAAGACTGGCCGGGCGCGGTGACTAACGCCTGTAATCCCAGCACTTTGGGAGGCCAAGGGTGGATCACCTGAGGTCAGGAGTTCGAGACTAGCCTGGTCAACATGGTGAAACCATGTCTCTACTAAAAATACAGAAAATTAGCTGGGCGTGGTGGCGGGCACCTGTAATCCCAGCTACTCGGGAGGCTGAGGCAGGAGAATTGGTTGAACCCAGGAGGTGGAGACTCATGTCAAAAAAAAAAAAAAAAAAGTACAAAGATTGCACTTTTTTTTTTTTTTTTTTTTTTTTTTTGGGACCCAGCCTTGCTCTGTTACCCAGGCTGTAGTGCAGTGGCACAATCTCAGCTCACTGCAACCTCCAATTCCCAGGTTCAAGTGATTCTCCTACCTCAGCCTCCTGAGTAGCTGGGATTACAGTCACCTGCCAAACGCCCAACTAATTTTTGTATTTTTAGTAAAGGCGGCGTTTCACCATATTGGCCAGGCTGCTTTCGAGCTCCTGACCTCAGGTGGTCCACCCACCTTGGCCTCCCAAAGTGCTGGAATTACAGGTGTGAGCCAACATGCCTGGCCAAAGATTGCAATTCTTGTTTGAATCTGATAGCCTTGGGCTGGAATCCTAAGCCCTCCATTTAGTGTTTTCTGTTTTCTCTATTAAGCTTGTGGGATTTTCTTTGGGGGGAGATGGGTGTTCTGTTTCTTTAAAACAAAACAAAACAATAAACCACCACTGGTCTAGATAATTCTTGGATAAGGCAGGATTGTGCACAGAGTATAGGCATATATCAGTTCAGGAAGTCTTTCTGGTAGAAGGATACATAAAACAGCCAGGAAGGAGGAAGGAGTGTGTAAATAAAGCTATTCTGAATGGAATTATCTCCCCCGGGGCAGTGGGTTTTGGAGCTCAGGATTAGTTTGAGGTCTATGACTTTTCAAATTTCAGATTGGAAGGTGTCTTTTCACTTACTATGGTTTCTTCTGCAGTTTGATGACATATGGCCTGTGGACCCCCATCCTAGAACCAGAGAGGACAATGGTAAGTCTGGAGGAAGAGGAAGTTTATCAGCCTTTTGTTATTCTTCTGAAGTTCTGTCCATTTTCCCTCCCTGAAGTTTCTTCCTCTACACTTGTCTCCTTTTTTCCCTTGGACTCTTTCTCTCCTGCTTCTTCATCTCTCTGCTCTTCCAGATCTTGATTCCCAGGTTTCCCAGGAGGGTCTTGGCCCGGTTCTACAGCCCCAACCCAAATCCTATTTCAAGAGCATCTCTGTAACCAAGATCACTAAACCAGATGGGGTGAGTTGAAAGAAAGAGGTAAAGGAAATTGTGGCCAGGGAATGAATGCCCTGAAACAGGAATCTCTGTAAAGAAACAGGGATCTCTGTAAAGAAACTGCTGAGCGTTATCTTTAGTGATGTGAGGAATATGGTGGGGACTTCTCCTTGTAGATAGTGGAGGAGCGCCGGACTGTGGTGGACAGTGAGGGCCGGACGGAGACTACAGTAACCCGACACGAAGCAGAGAGCAGTCCTAGGGTTGGTAAGTTAAAAGACAAAGGGGTTCATCTCAAGATTCCTTGGGGAAGGGAACTCTTACTCTTCTACCCTTGAATATTTCTCTCCTTTGCTTCTGCCTGGTCTCTTTCATTTAGCCTATTTGTGTGTATGACTTTCTTCCTTAGATCCAGAGTCACCAAGACCTCCAGCCCTGGATGATGCCTTCTCCATCCTGGACTTATTCCTAGGACGTTGGTTCCGGTCCCGGTAGCCTTGTTAACCCTCAGAAGCCTTCAAAGTCCTTTCCACCTTTCACCCATTGCCCACCATTAATAAGCTTAGCTTCTCCTCTTGCCACCTCAGAGGCTTGGATATGTGGAATAGTGAATTGGGGGCATGTCAGTTTGTCACTCACCCAAACTGACCAATAAAACTTTTATTTATGCTAATTATTTGTCTTGGTTTTGTCAAGGCTATTTCAGTTTCTAGAACCATCCAACACTTCCGAAATTATCTTAGTCCTCTACCTTCTCCTTATTCCTTAATATTTTATTCTACATCTAAAACCTGAGTAGAAAATGATTTTTCTTTCTCAAGCAAGAAATAAATTAAAAAAGAAAAAAAAGAGGCCAGGTTTGGTGGCTCACACCTGTAATCCCAGCACTTTGGGAGGCTGAGACAGGCAGATCACCTGAGGTCAGGAGTTCAAGACCAGCCTGGCCAACGTGGTGAAACTCTGTCTCTACTAAAAATACAGAAATTAGCTGGGCATGGTGGCGGGTGCCTGTAATCCCATGCTGAGGCAGTAGAATCACTTGAACCCAGGAGGCGGAGGTTGCAGTGAGCCGAGACCGTGCCATCACACTCCAGCGTAGGCAATAAGAGCAAAACTCCATCTCAAAAAAAAAAGAAAAGAAAAATGATTTTTCTTACTGAGGAGATAACTAGAAATAATTTCAGGAAAACTTCCAGAATTTCTAGAAAGGGATACATCAGATTCCCAAAAAAGGGTGTGGGTGTGGAAGTGTGGATCACTGACTGGAGAGTTCATGAGGTAACTGAGGAAGTACATGGGTAAATTTTCCTTACTTTACTGGCCTTAAAAAAATTGTTATGTGGCTGGGCATGGTGGCTCACGCCTGTAATCCCAGCACTTTGGGAGGCCGAGGCAGATGGATCATGTGAAGTCTGGAGTTCGAGATCAGCCTGACCAATATGGTGAAACCCCGTCCCTACTAAAAATACAAAAATTAGCCAGGTATGGTGGCACATGTTTGTCATTCCAGCTTCTTGGGAGGCTGAGGTAGGAGAATTGCTGGAACTCAGGAGGCGGAGGTTGCAGTGAGCTGTCATCATGCCATTGCACTCCAGCTTGTGCAAAAAGAGCAAAACTCCATCTCAAAAAAAAAAAATATTATGTATGTTAGAGAAAATACACCTGGCACAAATGTTACTAGGTCCTTTTTTCTTTTTTTTTTTTTTTTTTTTTTTTTTTTTTTTTTTTTTATAAAACGGGAGGACCAGGAGTCTCGCTCTAGCCATGGCGAGTGCGAGTAGGCGGGATCCTCTCAGCTCACCCCACTGAGCTCCACGCTCAGTTCTCCATTCTCTCCTCGGCCTCCCGAGTAGCACAAGGACTACAGGCGCCGCACCGCCCTTTTTTTTTTTTTTTTTTGAGACAGAGTCTCGCTCTGTCGCCCAGGCGGAGTGCAGTGGCGGGATCTCAGCTCACTGCAAGCTCCGCCTCCGGGTTCCCTCCATTCTCCTGCCTCAGCCTCCCGAGTAGCTGGGACTACAGGCGCCGCCACCGCGCCCGGCTAGTTTTTTGTATTTTTTAGTAGAGACGGGGTTTCACCTTGTTAGCCAGGAGGGTCTCGATCTCCTGACCTTGTGATCCGCCCGTCTCGGCCTCCCCAAGTGCTGGGATTACAGGCTTGAGCCACCGCGCCCGGCCCCTTTTTTCTTTTTGAGGCAGGGTCTCATTCTGTCACACAGGCTAGAGCGTAGGGGAGTGATGTTGGTTCACTGTAGCTTCGACCTGGGCTCAATACTTCCACCTCAGCCTCCTGAGTAGCTGGGACTACAGGCATACACCACCATGCCTAGCTAATTACTTTTTCTTTTTTTGTTGTTTTTTTATTTATTTTTTTTTTTGTATTTTTTGTAGAGACGGAGTTTTGCCGTGTTGCCCAGGCTTCCTTTTCTCATTATAAAAGTTTTTAATCTGGTGTGTTAGACTGCACATATCATCCCAGCTACTTGGGAGGCTGAGATAGGAGGATTACTTGAGCCCAGGAGGTGGAGGTAACATAGCAAGATCCTATCTCTAAAATATATATATAGATTTATATGTGTAACATAAATATATAGATTTATATGCATAATATATATAATACAAATATATAATATATATTATATATGATTGCATATATAATATATATGATTGCATATATATGATTACATATATAATATATTTTGTATATAATATATAAATATATAATATATATTTATAAATATATAATGACATAAATATATAACATATATTTATATATAAAATATATATATTTATATATTTTATATATATATATATTTTTGAGACGGAGTCTCTCTCTGTCACTGGGCTGGAACGCAGTGGTGCGATCTCAGCTCACTGCAACCTCTGCCTCCCGAGTTCAAGTGATTCTCCTGCCTGAGCCTCCTGAGTAGCTGGGACGACAGGCATGTGCTACCACATCCAGCTAACTTTTGTATTTTTAGTGAAGACGGGGTTTCACCATGTTGGCCAGGCCGGTCTCGATCTCTTGACCTCGTGATCCACCTGCCTCAGCCTCCCAAAGTGCTGGGATTACAGGCGTGAGCCACCGCACCCGGCAAAATTTTTTTTTTTTTTTTTTGAGACGGAGTCTCGGTCTGTTGCCCAGGCTGGAGTGCAGTGGCCGGATCTCAGCTCACTGCAGGCTCCAGCTCCTGGGTTTATGCCATTCTCCTGCCTCAGCCTCCCGAGTAACTGGGACTACAGGCGCCTGCCACCTCGCCCGGCTGTTTTTTTGTGTTTTTTAGTAGAGATAGGGTTTCACTGTGTTAGCCAGGATGGTCTCGATCTCCTGACCTCTTGATCCACCCGTCTTGGCCTCCCAAAGTGCTGGGATTACAGGCTTGAGCCACTGTGCCCGGCCCAAAATATTTTTTAAAAATTAGCTGAGCAGGCTGGGCATCATTGCTCACGCCTATAATCCCAGCACTTTGGGAGGCTGAGGTGGGCAGATCACTTGAGGTCAGGAGTTCAAGCAGGCTGGGCACTGTGGTTCACACTTGTAATCTCAACACTTTGGGAGGCCAAGGTGGGCGGATCACTTGACATCAGGAGTTCGAGACCAGCCTGGCCAACATGGTGAAACCCCAACTCTACTAAAAAAAAAAGTTAGCTTAGTGGGGTGGTGCACACTTGTAATCCCAGCTACTTAGGAGGCTGAGGCAGGAGGATCACTTGAATCCAGGAGGCCGAGGTTGCAGTGACCCGAGATTGTGCTGCTGTCCTCCAGCCTGGGTGACAAAGCGAGACTCCATCTCAAAAAACATAAATAAATAAATTAGCTGAGCATGGTGGCCCACATCTGTAGTCTCAGCTATTCAGGAGGCTAAAACAGGAGGATCTCTGGAGGCTGGAGTTCAAGGCTGCCATGATCTATGATCACACCACTGCATTCTAGCCTGGACTACAGAGTGAGACCCGATCACAACAACAACAAAAGCTTTTAGCCGGTCGCGGTGGCTCAAGCCTGTAATCCCAGCACTTTGGGAGGCCGAGGCAGGTGGATCACGAGGTCAGGAGATGGAGACCATCCTGGCTAACATGGTGAAACCCCGTCTCTACTAAAAATCCCTGGCGTGGTGGTGGGCGCCTGTAGTCCCAGCTACTCGGAGGCTGAAGCGGGAGAATGGCGTGAACCTGAGAGGCAGAGCTTGTAGTGAGCTGAGATCGCGCCACTGCACTCCAGCCTGGGTGACACAGGGAGACTCCATCTCAAAAAAAAAAAAAAAAAAAAAAGCTTTTAGTACTATGGTTAAGAGGGCAAATCTGAGGCCAGTCACAGTGGCTCACACCTGTAATCTCAACACTTTGGGAAGCTGAGTGGGGAGGAACAATAGAGACCAGCCTGGGCAACATAGGAAAACCCTGTCTCTACAAAAAAATTTAAAAATTAGTTGGGCATGGTGGTGCATGCCTGTAGTCCCAGCTACTCAGGAGTCTGAGGTGGGACGATGTCGAGCCCAGGAGGTCAAGGATGCAGTGAGCCATGACCATGCCACTGCACTCCAGCCTGGGCAACAGAGTGACACTCTCTCTCAAAATAAAAAGGCCAAGCATGGTGGCTCACGCCTGTAATCCCAGTACTTTGGGGGGAGGCTGAAACAGGCAGATAACTTGCTGTCTCTACTAAAAATACAAAAATTAGCCAGGCATGGTAGTACAAGCCTGTAATCTCAGCTACTTGGAAGGCTGAGGCATGAGAATCACTTGAACCTGGGAGGCAGAGGTTGCAGTGAGCCGAGATTGCACCATACACTCCAGCCTGGGTAACAGAGCAAGACGCCATCTCAAAATATAAAATAAAAAAAAAATTAAAAAAAAAAAAAAAAAGAGTGGTGACTGGGTGTGGTGGCTCACGCCTGTAATCCCAGCACTTTGGGAGGCCAAGGCGAGTGGATCACGAGGTCAGAAGTTCGAGACCAGCCTGACCAACATGGCGAAACCTCGTCTCTACTAAAAGTACAAAAATTAGCCGGGCATGGTGGCGTGCACCTATAATCCCAGCTACTCAGGAGGCTGAGGCAGGAGAATCGCTTGAACCCAGGAGGCAGAGGTTGCAGTAAGCAGAGATCATGCCACTGCACTCCAGCCTGGGTGACAGAGCGAGACTCTGCCTCAAATAATAATAATAATAAATAAATAAATAGGCCAGGCATGGTGGGTCATGCCTATAATCTCAGCACTTTGGGAGGCCAAGGCAGGTGGATCCCCTGAGGTCAGGAGTTCAAACCAGCCTGGACAGCATGGTGAAACCCCGTCTCTACTAAAAATACAAAATTAGCTGACCGTGGTGGTGGGCGCCTGTAATCCCAGCTAAAAATACATAAATAAATAAAACAAAAAAGCCCCAAAACAACAGCAACAACAATACACGCACATGCATACACACAGTAAGGGATCTTTCTATTCTATTAATCTATTTGTCTATCTTTGTGTCCATATCATACCTTAAAATACTATAGATTTATTTAGTAAGACCAGTCTTCCTGCCTTTTTATTATTATTTAATCCGTCTAGTGTATAAAAATACAATTGGTTTTTTGAATCAACTTTTTAGAATTCCATCACAAATATAAATGGAGCTAAAAATCACCAGATACATGAAGAAAGCATCTAACATGAGTGGTAGAGACAAATG